CTCTAGCTTATTAGGTATATCATGCATTCTGTCATTTTTATTTAAGAGATAAATCTTGCATGTCAAGGAAGGAAGGTGAGCATCTTCCCACAGTAGCTTCTCCTGTGAATGAAATCAAAATTCTGTTTTTCTATCACACCCTTTCAGTCCTTTTAGTTCATGTCCTATGGATTTTGATGGTGTTGTGTACGAATGGAATTTCGACAAATTGTCGCAGATAGTGATTTGCACGACATGATTGATCTTCTTTTTTTATTATTATTATTAAAACTAAAACCCTGGCTCGTCGGTTGTTTTTTTTTTTCTCATTTTGTGAACAATAATTCGTGCAACTTTTACAGATCGATGTTAACTTCGTACTACATTTTACAGACATATTGATATTTGCTCTCATAATTCTGCATTTCTCATTAGCATATCATCACCAAAAACTTCAGCATTTTTGTCTACATAGTTGACAAAAGGAGGCCATGGCTGGTAAGAGACACTGTCAGCCTTTCTTTGTCAGCTGTAAAAGCAACATTTGTGAAGCAAATGCTGAGCATAGCTGCTCATCTCAGTGAAGCGTTTATCCCCAAACTGCCTGCCTTTGTGGTGGCTCCAGATTTTTTTTTTAGAATAAAGGAAACTAGTTGCAGCTGCAAATTGACAGCACTGTTTTGTCAACTGAAAAATTCTGAGCCAAATTCCAACGACGTCACATGATCTTTGTCTCATCTAGCAGCATAACTCATCTGTTTGTCTCTGCGAAGTTGGAAACATTATCTCTTTGTTTTAACCGAGTGTGAACTAGACAGTGTTTCCTTAGATGCAAATATTATTATAGCCCAGATAACAATTGCTATAGCCTAAACACAATATGTTAAAGTTGTGTCCAACTTTTTGGCAAACAAGATTCATATTTATGAGGACCATTGGGTTCAAGGGAATTTCAGAGGATTTTCCTAGGAACTAAACTATCTTGCAAAAAATTACCGCGTTTTAAAAATTGCCTCGAATTTCACAGGGAATTAGTTTAATTTCCATAAAATTCCTGCAATATCTCTCTGTTCAAAAGAGGGGGTAAATTCACAAGATTATTACCTAGACTCTCCGTCCTTAAAAAAAAGTCTAGATTTATAGTTAAAAGTTATTTTTTTTACAGAGTAGTATTTATCTAGAACAGTATCCTACACTGCAGATGTTATATGTGCCTCACTTGCGACATCTGAACTGAACTGAACTTTATATCCATGATTCATGCACCGGAGGAGATCATCAAAGTATGAAGAAATCATGGGCATTACCAACACTGGTCGCTCGCTGGCCCCATTAATTAGGAAAAAAAAATGGGACCATATATTCTTATTAACATAAAGATCCCAACAACACATTTTTTTTTCTCTTCAGCATATGGCCATTCCCAGCCCAATGAGAACAATGTCCATAGCATTAAATAATCTGTCACGAAAATTAAAAAAATGACGTGGCAAGTGAATAAATGAGGAAAGAGAAGAAAATCAGATCTTACATGAGATATAGTTTCTACGCAACATCCAAGACATCATGTGAGATAAATAACATTAAATTTAAGTATGTAAAAGTTGTGTTTGCATTAAAATAATAGTGTACAGTACTAGTTTCTTTATAATTGGAGTTAATGGAAACTACTGGCCTAATTAAATAAGCCATCTATTTCTGACGGTCAAAAAAGGCAAAACAAAAACAAAAAAAAACCGAAAAAAGAGTGCAGAAATTATGAGAGGTCGGGCCCACCATTGGGCTGGACTGAGAGACACAATTATGACGGGCATGGACGCCCAAAAAAAATGAGAAAAAAAAATAATTTGCAATGCGCCCCAACATCCGCTGCCCCACACGAAAGCGACGTAAAACACCTCGCTCAAGCCCCAACACCCAGACGCTGACAGTGGGCCCGGGGATGTCACCGGGGCCCACACGTCGGTGGAGGTAGGGCCGCTACGTGGGAGTGGGGGTGCGGGGGGAGAGACGGTGCGGGTGGGCCCCACAGTGAAGTGGAGCGTGGCTGTGGGTAGGAGGACAGCCTGGGCCCCACCCCCTCCCGTCGCGAGCATCGTGGGCCCCGCGCAAAAAAAAAATGAAAATAATGCGCCGCGCGCGTGCGGGCCCACACCTGGGATGGATGACAGGTGGGGCCAACGAGGTGGTGGGGCCGGGGTGTCATTGAGCGTTGTGGGTGAGGTTGCGGGGGGAAAAAGGAAAAAAGGAGGTGTGAGGTGGCAGCTGGGTGGGGCAAGTGAACATGGGCGCGGGTGTGTGGAGGGCGACGCGGTTGGGGGGGTGCAACTGCAGGAGGCGATGGGTACGCGGGAACGAGGTCTCTCGCTGTCGGGTGGGCCCACGGACGTGACACGCTGGCAGGAACAGGCGTCTGCCGTGTACCCCTGTATCCCTGTCAAGTTCCTGTCAAGGTTGACGGTGTGTGTTAGCTGTGTTCAGATTAGTAGGATTGCAACGTAGTATCATGTTTAGCATTAGATTTGTTTTTTTATGACATGTACTCGTTGAATTCTAGTATGTTAGAAAATGTTATATTTTATATTAGATTTATTTATTTTGAAACAGAGATTAAACAGAGTATGGTTTGTTTAAGGAAATTGCTTATGAGTATCGTTGGTACTATGGGTTGGAAATACTTTGCTTCGCAAAGAAAGCAGTATAACTCATTTTAATAAGTGTGGTTAATTAAATGTTAGTTGAAAAACTTAAAAATAAATTAAGATGATTTTTTTAACAACTTTTGTATGTAACTTTTTTCTTTATGAAAAACACAGTGTTTTACTGTTACGGAAAACGAGAGTGAAAGTTGATAAAGGTGAGGAATGAAATCAGCCTACTCTTAGAGTGTACTTTGTATATCCATCTATTTCAAAATATAAGAATTTTCTTATACTAACTCCAATTCACAAAAATTCTTATATTTTTAGAGAATTAGGGCTTAGGAAGGGAATTTAAGTAATTTAAAATTTTATTAACACTGAGGTGACTTAAAAAAATATTTATTCATAACCACCAAACTAAATGCTTGCTAGTTCAAATTGCTAGTGAGGAGAGTCGCTATGGTATTCTCTAAAGTAAATTAATTTCAGTGACGATTAGTACGTAGTACTAGTACATTACGAGTGAGGTATACGAACGTAAATTGTCTCTATCACACTTATTTTCGTATCAGGCATATACACATCCTCCATCCGTAAAAAAGAAAAACCCATTTTTAAGTTTGAATCTAAATATACACTATATCATTTAAACCTAGAAATAGTTTTTTTATGGAGGGAGTTTCTTTCGTGTCAGCTACAGCAGATGTACAGTGCTTTCTCATTGGTCTTTGCGTTACACACTACTTCTGGATCACCCATACGGCCATACTCCGTATAAACTGTGAGTTTATGTTGGCCTACTGTTAATTAGGGTTGTTGTATGAGTCCACCAATCAGATATTAATAAGTGTATCTAGTTGAACAACTCTAGAGTGCCAACATTAGTCAACCTAGCCATTTCTTTTTCAAATAATTGTGAATAAAGGGCGCTAGGAGTGAAGTGTTCAACCGTCTCTAGGCTGCGCATTCAGAGCAAGAAAAAATAGTTACTCCTATTTGACTAACACAGCCTTTTAAGTCCCTTTTTAATTTTAGTTATTCACCAGATTGTTTATCCTACAGTATGAAATATATGTTTTTGTTAAAAACGTTTTTCTATCGCTTTTTAGACCATTTATTTTAAGCTATTTACCAATTCTATTTTCTTGAAATATTTAATTGATTCTTATAGTTAAGTAGATAATCCGTGACAATAATCTACTTAAATTTGTCTGCTGTGAGATCCTTCCCATTGTGGCAACTGGCAAGCCGAGTAAAATTTCATTGCTAGTGGTGCCCATTGCTTAGCTTTTTAAAAAGGGCGAATCAATTGTTCCTTGTTATCGCATCTCATGCAAACTGACGGAGTAATAAGCTCCATCATGCATGCCTGCTAGCTAGGTTGTTGTTTACCGGTAGCAGCACAAATTCATCAACGAAATGCCACCACTAAGCAATTTCGAAAATTCCTAGTTCAATTTTGGTCGGATAAGGCCTATGTGGTTGTTCAATTTCCTAGTATATAGAATTGGGACTTTGGGAGATACAGATCAAAATTAAATTTAAAGTACATGTTCCCATACTTGTAGTAGCCATCTCATGGGTTTTATATACGGCCCCCCGCCTATTTGGATTATGACATGCAAACTGTCAGTGTCTATCTTTGTCCTCTCCCTTTCCCTGTTTTCTTCTTTTCTTTATTCCCTACTTATCTAAATCACATCAACAAAAATCTGGCTGTCAACACAGGAAATAACAATGTTGTATCGTCGCCAACAAAACCACAATGTAGAACTACATTAGTGTTAATCTGTTTTTGCATATTTCAATCTCAGTACTTGCATGATTAAGATATGCGGCTAAGTTGATTAAGTGGGCTTTCTTTGAACGGCCTGAAATGTTGTTACAAGTGCTACCATATGTAATTCGCATAAAGTGTTGTAGCTCAACGCACACCAACACATTTGTGCACCCAGGAATTCAGCATAGTTATCGCAAGAAAGTGCAGTCGCGTGTAAACAAAATGTCCCAAAACCATGCATACAATTATACAAATCTGGATGAAAGTACAACTTTGCCAATATTATTGTCAATAAAACTAGGTCAAACTCAACTTACACTGACGCTGGTATTCATAGAATCTTTTGCTATATAATATGCCTTCATATGTTAACAGTGATGAACACTGTCGCCATCTCGCTCCATGTCAAATGGGCACCATATCAACGTAAAAGATCACATGTAACCTTTCTCTCCTTTCTTCCAGGGCGCCCATGGATAAAGCACAAAAGACTTTTCAGTTCTCAGCGTTTGTGCTCCTCACTCGCTGATTCCATACTTACCACCATTCATTCATATTCCATGACATAGAATACAAATGACAAGAAGTCCTACAGCAGGAATGCTAACTTTCGAATGTAAAATGGATTGATTAAGAACAATAGTTCTGACCCGGAAAACAAAATTTGTACATATGATTTGACTTCGCTAACAAAATGGATTGCGCATCTACATCGCTTGGAATGTTGTAATCTAATGCTCTATTAAACTACCAACTGTGGAATGGTAGATTTGCATGGCCTATCTACAAACCTCAGTTCGAGGTGGTGTGGCTTTTACAAGATTTCAAGGGCGCAAGATGTCAAATCAAGGGGAAAAACCTCTGAATCCTGTACCAAGATGAGATCATTGGCAAAAACTCATTCTTCCAACTCCTTGAGAAAATCTACATTATCAACAAATACCTGCAATTATGGTAATTAATGTATCAGACGGAAGAAACTGCGGGTTCTTCATGAAAATAGAGGCATGGCACAAAATATGTAATGCAACAGACTAATAATGCATATGCATATACTTTTTTTTCTGACAAATGTACTTAGGAGTATTATTATTCTGAAGATCATAAAATCGCACAGAAGACATGTACGACTACTTCACATACTTGTTTCAAGATGGGGAATATTCATGGCAGGTCAGCAGAACAGTTGACTTGGTCTAATTCATCATTATTGTACACAGTACAATAAAAAAAAACTACTACTCCCTCCGTTTCACAATATAAGTCATTCTAGCATTTCCTACATTCATATTGATGCTAATGAATCTAGACATATATCTAGATTCATTAGCATCAATATGAATGTGGGAAATGCTAGAATGACTTACATTGTGAAACGGAGGAAGTACAATTTCTGTTCTCAAATTACACAAAGAATAATGTTAATTTTCTTAAATATGCCTTTACTGTATACATGGTAATAAACTAATTGGATATCCTTTTTTCTAGGGCAGTGAGAATCACTAAAGATTTTATGGTGCGTATGTATTATTCAAGACACACCAACAAAATAGCAACAAATTTCTTCCAAGTTTAGTTATCATGGAAAGTTTATCGCCATAAAGTGTAAATGGCCCAGAAAAAGCTCATATGGAGCAGTCAGAAACAGCCAAGAACAAACAACCTTTAGCAAAAATTATGACCCCCTTATCTACACACACACACACACACACACATGCACGAGAGAGCTGTGATTCTCAAACAAAAAGAAATAGTACATACTGTTTTCCAGCCATCTGGATCTGTGCAAGCAGTTATCTTCGTATTAATTCCAGGTAATGGGCCAGGTTCACGAGTTATTTGTCCACCATTTTGTCTAATGACTTCCGCAGTCTTGTAGACATCATCTGTGCTAATAGCAATCTGGAAGGGTAAAAAAATTAAACTCCACGACTGTAATGTAAATACGAGGGATGAACCCTCATGAAATGAAACTCCTATTATACTCATATTTGACCCAAACCCTTTCGGATGCTTCTAGTAACCAACGAATGGCAAGTGATCCCCGTTGTTTAGATCATATTCAATCAGAAATTTCCACATAGATCCTTTTTTATTACTAACACAGTATAGAAGAGAAACTTCCAAATCCAATCTAAACACTCAAATATAATATACCTGTGCATAAGCATTTCCTTTATCATATTCCTTGACACCATAGTTGTAGGTCAACTCCAGTACAGCATTTTTGTCTTCAGGACCATATCCCATCATTGCAATAGTATACTAGAGAAAAGATACAATTAGATTTCTAATAGTTATAAATCACATAAGGAAATCATAGGCTATGACCAAAAGGGTTAGGTACATGCAGATTTGGTTGCAAAATATTAACAGACAAAATTGTAAGCATCTAGATATAACAAAAATAATACTTCCTCCGTTTCATAATGCAAGTCTTTCTAGCATTGTCCATATTCATATAAATGTTAATAAATCTAAGCATATACGTGTGTCTAGATTCATTAACATCTATATGAATATGAGCAATGCTAAAAAGTCTTACATTATGAAACGGAGGGAGTATATATCAAGATCATTCAAGACAGACAAAACCTGTTGTGGTGAAAACCAGTAACAGAAAATACTTTGAGGTCTATTTTTTATTTGTTATACGTGCATCAATTTGACATGACTAACGCCAAGCAGCTGTAGCATATTCTCTAAAACCCTGTGTGGACTGTCATGAAAAAAAAGTGAAAATATTTTTTAACATAGGTTTCGCTATCATATATGCTTCTATGAAATTGCAAGGTTATGTTGTCATATATACTTATTATGAAATTACAACTTAACACATCTATATTGCTTGGTGGTGGTGGTGGTGGCTATGGCCCCTTACTGGTCTCACAGCCTGACAGCCTGATGTATGGGGCCACCAGGCTATGAGACCAGTACACAAATGAGTGCTATGCTCACTGTGTTGTCTCTAATAGTTTGCTTCTTTTTCACCTTGATTCAAGTGAAAAACTCAAGGACATTTTAGTTTTATTAGTAGTTCACTGCACAATTTATTATTAATACGTGTTTCATTATTCATGTCAAAATGCATTGAAGGTTTTATGTCTCACTTTGGAAAACAACAATCCTATAAACATGTACATTTTCTTTTTGTTTCTTAAAGATGAAGCGTTTTGTTTCAACCAAACAGAAGCAAACAAGTTCTTTTTTTCAGAAAATGGACTCAATATTTTTATTTCTATAATCTGCTGCAATGCACGGGTATTTGACTATTGTTTTGTATAAGGAGAAACAAAATAGAGAAACATTGGTAAGGAGTAAAGTAGGTCGATTTTAGTAGTTCAGGAGGTAAAATGAGTAAAAAAAAATACTTCAGAGGATTAAATGCTCCGGTGAAATAGTTTGAGGGAGTAAAATGGATTTTTTTTCCTTTTTTTTGTTAAGTCTTGCATCATTTGTATCTGTAGTTGCATATCCAGTGTAAATTATGCATCAGAGTTTCTAGATTAAAAGACAATCACTTTTACATTTGTAAGTTTAGAACTTAAGATATACTCCCTTCCTCCACAATTTGATTTTGCCAAGTTTAGCAGAAATTAAGGTAGAAACAAAAAGACATGTGCCCCTAAAAAAGGTGGGGGACAAGTTTGGATTGGCAACATTTCAGGATAATAAAAGTGCAAAAAGGTAAGGGGATTGAATGCAAGGCTGAGTTTGTCTGCTGTAGTTCACTCCCCGGGTTCTCAAAACCCCTTATATTTGTGGACAAACGAACAGGGCCAAAATCCCTTATATTTTTAGAAATTTGATATTTGTTCAATGCATATAGATGAGTAATATAGGGAAAAAAAGGTAATCTGAAACTTTGTTTCACGAATGAGTGGCATAATAACTCATCAGAAGAAAGTTAACAAGCATTTGGACTGTAATAATATCGGATCACAGGGTTCTAGTCCTTTTGACAGTGACCCTTATCCATAGCTTGGATAGCAACTGTGCCAGAGAAGTATATTTTGTTTCCAGATTCATGAGTGAATACGAAGAATAAGACAAACATGACACAAGATATCCTGACAGAGAACAGACAAAGTTTGTGATCAACCCTATGCACAAGGTACCAGAAAACCAGATGGCACAACATGCTTGAGACTAAGATTTCAAAAGAAAAGAAAAAGGCTTGTCAACACCAGAAAATGATGCCTAAAAACAATGAAGTTCCCATCTCTAGAAAGAAATATAAGAAACAATGGCATGTATAATGAAACAACCAGTAAATGCACATGCGGAACTTGCTATCACTTCGGTTTTATCAATACCATGCCTACTACCCAAGTCTGAAGTCTGAACCCAGTGTATGAATGTAGCAAAAATCAGGATACAACCATAATAGCTACATTTAACATGTTCTCCGTAAGTCAGGATACCACTGTATAAGATATGGAACTAAGCAAATAGTTTACAAACAAAAAGTGCATTTAACATGTTCTCATATTTCGAGGTAGTAGTGCATGTTTTTCCTTATCTCACTTAAGCAAGGATCAGATTAGAAAGCATCAGGGCAAACAGAAGCCATGAGGACAAACAGAAGTCATAGCAATGGAGGTGATGAGGTACATTGATGGAAGCTCTTTTGAATGTTTTTCTAGTACTTTGTAGTAGAGCATAACATTAGAAAGCATCAGGGCAAACAGAAGCCATGAGTGTCACGAGGTAAATCCATGCAATGGTTTTGAAAAGTACCAACCTTGTATTGGGGATTGTCTCGTTTCCGGAGAAGTTCCATGCCAAATGCCTTATGATGAAAATATAGTACAGATTAGTTGCTGAATGAATAATTATGATAAATACCAAATACTACAAGTTAAAGACAATAAGTTTACCTTCTCATAGAAATTGATAGCATGATCAAGATCTCCCACTCGAAGCATTACCTGGCATAAAGGCTCAGGTGTAGGACCTCTTTCTATAAGCTCAAATTTGTAACCATCAGGATCTTCAATAAAAGCAATTACAGACTTTCCACCTTTTACAGGTCCTGGTTCTCTTGTTACCGTTCCTCCCTTGGCTTTAATGAGATCTACTGTTTTTGCAACCTACAAGTTTTTTGTAATGAAACTTATCAATCAACCAAGCACATATCCATCTTTGCAAAGGCAAAATATTAAAACCTATAATCAGATACATTACTAACTGATGGCATGTTTAAAACTCTAGTCTTATCCAGTGCACAAAAATAGATTACATTATTCTTGGATGTTTGCATGACCAGAGTAACATTTTTTACCACTATTAATGAAAAAGGGAAGATTATCCCTCAATGTGTGAACTGAAAACATGAGTAAGTTATTGTTATGTTATGAAAAACCTTTTATGCCATCTCCATGGAAGAAAAGAAGGCATTGTATGGGGTTTGGCATGATGAGATTAATCATGCCAAAATCTAGCATCCTAAAAAGGCTATTTGTTTTCAACTAGTTCCCTACTACATGGTTCAATGAAAATTTGGACAAAGCAATTTAAGCCAGATCACCTGGTTTAAGGTTTTATGGCACTCAAGAATCACACTAACCCCTACGTAACTAAGCAAGCCAATTAGTTGTAGGCATCAAAATATAAGAAAAAAAGTGTATTATTAAGTCACAACCCCTGAGAGAAATCTTATCTGGATGATACATGGATAGGTCTGGTAAAAAATTTAAGCCTAAAAACCAGTGGGAACTAGCTTGAAATTCTACAAGCAAAAGGGACTAGTATCTTTTTGAGTAGCCAAAAAGAAAAAAAGCATGCCCAGTTGAAGGAAGTGGCAGTTATACACACAGGGCTGAATGTCAAACAACTCAACTACTCAACAAAAATACTAAGATAAGCAGCAGAATCTTACGTCCTCGACAGCAATCCCGAAGTGACCGAAAGCAGTCCCGATATCATAACTTTCCACACCATAATCTGCCAATAGATGTACATCAGGGGTCTTGCACGGATACAACAGATAACGCACACTATGTGAGGTATAAACATATGATAACAGCATTTGGACTGTAGAAGCTTACTGTAAGTGAGCTCCACAACAAAATGCGAGTCCTCAGGCCCGTACCCGAGAAAAGCATTGGTATACCTCTCCTCCGGAATGTCGCGCTTGCGCAACAGCTTCATCCCCAAGCACTCGGTGTAAAACCTGCAGAACAGCAAATCAATTCAAGGCTAACACTATGGTAGACGCCAGAGCAAATTTTAGTTGGGAGTAAATTTCATTTTGGGCCACCTTTTATTACCGAAGTTTCGCTTTGTATAACCTTCTAACCAAAGTACCCCAAAGTGGCATAAAGGTAAGATTACCCCATCCAAAGTGAAAACATCGGTTAAAAGATGATCCAAAACATCGGTAATAAAAGGTGACCCCAAGTGAAATCTACTCTTTTAATTAACAACTATACGGGTTGTAGTTTTTTTTTTTTTTTTTTTTCGTTTTCTATACTTGATCGTCTTGTCGAGGTCGCCGACGCGGTAGACGACATGGAGCATGCGCCTCCGGTCCTTCTTGACCCACTCCACCGCCTCGTCCTGCCCGATCACCTGCGCTGCCGCGGCGGCCGACGACGACCCGCCCGCCTCCGCCCCGGCGCTCACCCCTCTCCTCGCCAGCCTCACCGGCGCCCTCGCCGCCGCCACCCTCCCCCCGAAGAGCAGCGCCTCACGCCGCGCCACTGCAAACCAATCAAAAAAAAAAACAAACAAACCCAATGAAAACAGAGGCCCTCCCACACGAACGGGGAACATGGAGAGGGGGGGATGATAGGAGGTCGGCGTACCGGAGGAGGAGAGGACGGGGAGGCGGAGGCGGGAGGCGGCGGCGGCGGCGATGGGGAGGGGGAGGAGGAGGCGAGCCATGGCGGTGGCGGAGGAGGAGGGGGATTTGGGGGGCGAGAGAGGTGGGGTGGCTAATCTCCTTTTTCCTGTCGTGTCCGCGATTGCTGCGGTCGCGGGTTTGGATCTGTGCGGGGGGATGTCAGTGAGGCTGGCAGGTGGGGCCCACGAGATGGGGGGGTGGGCCAAAGCGGAGGCTGTTTGATTTGATTTCGGAAGGTTTTTTTCTTGGCCGTCCGTGTGCTGTCAGAGATTTTGGAATAATAAAGGAATGAATGGAATTTCTCTGTATTTTCTCTCATGTTATGTCTTCCTTTTTTTTGTGTCTTCAACTTCTTTTGCTTTTTGGAATAAACTACAAATCAGATCGAAAAACGAGTAGTCAAATATTTCAGCTAATCAATGAGTAAAATATTAAGCTATGGACGTGTCTACGACGAGACGGTGCACTGGATTATCATAACCAGCTACCTCAATCTAATATCAAGTTGCTAATAGTACACCCAAAAGTACATACATTTTTGTTCTTTTCATAGAATTTTCTCTTAAATTACTCATCCGATTTACAATCTAATTACACCATTGTGTTTGTAATAATTAAATCTTTATAACAAAATTTTACATGATTATATTTTTTATAAAAAAATACAAATTACTTATATAATATATCTAAATTACTTTTAGATTTCATTAAATTACTTTTTAGTCATAAAAGTAAATTTAATAAAGTTTGAAAGTAATTTACATATATTATAGATATATTATAGAAGTAACTTAAAACAAAAGTAAAGTAACTTGTTACGGCATTAAAAGTAAATCTATTGTGGGGGTAAAAACATGTCTATCTAGAAATTAGATTTAATCAACATATTATAGTTACCCCCATAACGGATTTACTTCTAATGACAAGTTACTTTCTTTTTCCTTTTGTTTTAAGTTACTTCTATAATATATGCAAATTAATTTTAGGCTTTATTTAATTTACTTTTATATGTCTAAAATGTAATTTAGTGAAATCAAAAAGTAATTTAGATATAATCTAAAAGTAATTTATATTTTTTAATCAAAATATAATCATGTGAGATCTAAACTATAGAGTTATAAAATATGAGTGAGAGCAATAATCCTGAAAATCATCTAAAATCAAAGTTCACTCCTGTTTCTACCCTTACCACTCTCACCCATCTAGCTTACATCGACCTAGGCCTACTTGGCAGCCACTTGGGCTTGCCCACTCCCTGTCCATCTCTTCCAACCGACCAGCAGAGAGAGAGAGAGAGAGAGATCGAGGGCGTTGGCAGTGCTCGACGCATGGGAGTGACGTGTCGACGCCCTCAAAATGCCGAGCTCCTTCTCTACTTCTCTCCCAGACGCATCGCCATTCTTCACTTTCCATCCCAGTGCCGATCCAACCGAGAAAAAGGATGCCACCGATCGCCAACGAGCCATCTCCTTCCCTATCTAACTCACGTTCTATTATCTTCTCTCCATGTCGATCAAAACTCGTTTTGACAACCTCTCGATTCGTGCAGCCAATCGACGGGAATGCTGCCATGCCCACCGGAGCTCTGGAGCGCGCTCTGTGCACCGCCGTTCCCGCTTTTGTGGACCAAGCCGGGCCAAGCTGTCGTGCCACCACCATCGTCTCATCACCACGACCAAAACCCCTCAAGAAACCCCAAGATTCATGCCCCATGGACGGTGATCGGCATTGTCTTCTCCGGCTCCGGCCAATTGTCGCCATCGCCGATTCCTTCTCCTTCGGTGAGCCATTGTCCGATACTTTGCACGTGAAGCATCCTTGAGACCTCGCTAACAACGTATGACCTCATGCATGCCAGTTAGATTGGTAGATCAAGCCGTCGACGTCATCCCAGAGTGAAGCACCGTCGCCAAGCCATCTATCTAGAGCACAGACGTCTCCCGTGAATTAGATTAAGTACAGGGATTAGTTAACCAAATTATTCCTTTTACTCAACTCAATCAAGGAGTAACATGTTCTGGTCATAAAACTCTCAAGACATACACCTGTAAAACACTATATGCCTACAACATGTTATAACTTGTAAAAATCATAAGAAAATCATTATAACTCCAAAAATCTTGAAACCAAATGTGTTACTCTTAGAAAACACACCACCACACCTCTGTAAAGTCAAAACTAATAAAAATTTCTTTGCAAAAATATTTTATAACACCACCTAGGTAATTACTGCAATATACCGACATAACTTATAAATTCATAACTCACTAATAAAATATAATAAAAATAGAAATTCTTTCACCTAAATTCATCTTAGACCAGTGCCTATTCACTGTGCACAAATCATGTATTTTATAGCATTTTGGATTTTTCGCATATTTCGGTGTTTAATTGCATAACGTGTACTTTGTATAGATGATTGCTTAAGCGGTGAAGAAGTGATTTAGGTGGTGACTTTTTCTAGTTACAAGGCTAGTCCCACCTCCCTCTCTCTTTGATCAAGTTGATCCTATATTTTGGAGGTTATTGAGGTTATTGAAAATGTTTGCAAATCTTGCATGTCGATTGTACACTATTATACATTAAAATTTTGTAAAACTTGTTAGACAAACATCTATTACTTGCATTATCACCTTAACCCCACATATATCCATATCCCTCATTCCTAACCTTAGGAACAATATGACTATACCACTTTATATATGAGTTTTGATGTCACTAGGTTACTTATAATGCTTAGTCATGCTTGGAATGGTCTTCCTTGTCATTATGGGCTCATTACAAACATGAAAATTGTTTTTGAAATAATCTGGATAGAACTTGAATACTTGTGATTTTGACAACTCACATCATGTGGGTAAAGTATACGAACTCTGAAGAGTAAAAACTAATCGATTAGCCGTGCTCGCGGTCATGAGCAGCGTGTGGATATGCGTTGAGTATAGACTTGTGTTTATTCTCCTAAATGATGAATTTTATCTTCAAATTATGTTGAGATTTGGGAATGATCTCCTTGCTACCATGGAGGGCAATGAAGTGTATATTTATATATGATTAATGCCTACTTTGATGCCGATATGCTAAGTACTAGCTTGCTGAAATTTATCTGAAAGCAAATCTGATTTGAAAGTGTTTTATGCAAATAAAGCTTGCCTTATGCTAAAAAGAACCATATTATGCTTTCTTTGGATATATGCCATGCATGTAGCGTGTTAGGATTGCTTCTTGCTTGCCAGTACATTATTTCTAATAATATACTGACTCTTGCTATTGGATTAACTATTTGCTTGCAGGTTGTAGACTTAGTATTTTGAGTGATGTGGGTAATCGATTGCTTTTTTTGGACTTGAACTTAATGGGGGTATATCCCTAATCAGTGTGCTTGTGTTTAGGTAGTCAAGCTTCTGCTATTCTCTGATATATCTATATTTGGCCAGTCGGCCCTTGTAACTATAAAGTAATTGTAAATTTTAGATCACTTTCATCTTAAATGTATTTTGCTATTTATTTCCATGCTTAAGATGAAAGTGTGAATCTAGTTCACATCCTGGGAACTAGATTCACATGAGTATAAGTTAAGAATATTTGAGATGTTGTAGATCTTTAGCCATTTTTTCAAGTCTCCTGAATATGTAACACATCTGGTCACCGCCTTCGAGTGGTTTGACAGGCACATCCCAGGCTAAAGTTGACTGACAAGCTAAAGGCTCAACAATGGTCTTCAATATTCTTCTCTCTAGGAGTCGGATATTTCATTATATTTGTTTGATGACTTGAATAATTCACTTCATCCTTCAAATATAATGAGAGGTCCGAAGAGCCTACGACAACGATACATACTATTTAGCAGTTTGAAAAGTGTGCTAACGAAAATCGATGTAGTATTTGTATTTTAATCGAAAAGAATGGAGCCGTGCATGATGATCGAAGTGCATGCACGCAAGGCTCCTAACCTGGGAAATCAATTGAAGAAAATTAGAACTTGCGAGAGTTCCATTTTGAGTTAATAGAAAAAAAGGATATAGTATTTCTGTTTAAATTGACAGTTTCCAAGTTGAACCTATAAGCTAAATGAGGCAGTAGCTAATGTTTAACACTTGATTGAATGAAAGATCTGAATGACAATATCACACATGTAATGCCTGCTTTAATGTATAGTTTTGATTGAATGAACGATCTCACTGTAAAAAAAAATGCACAACGGAGACATGAATATTTACGTGAAAAACTCTTACATTAAAAACTATGGATGCCAACCAGCAATGACCAGTATAGACGATTTGGTTACAAATGTAAGAGATACATTGGGTTATCGCACCTACTAGAAAAGACTAGAAGGCTAATAGCTAGGATAAGGCTAGAAGTCCTACTAGAATACTAATCTAACCAATTAAAAACTAATACAAACATATTACATGCTGAAATTCGGATAACATGTTTGATAATCTTCATCTTGAGACGAATTTCCCTTTTAGCATAAGCACCTTCATCCTCCAAACAACCTCATGCAGACAAACTATTGTGCGCCAATTAGTCACTTGGACTATAAAATTGTAACACCCTTGATTCAGAAGAGGTAGATCATATTTCAAATTTGCCATCGGCAATAAATCCTAAATCTATGGTATCAATTGGTGTGTGAACCAAACCGAGATGCGAAACCTGGTGCACAAACTTCAAACTCGCCATGGGAATAAAATCCTGAATCTTCTATATGAAACTCTTGTACTGAAAACGAAATTTTTATATCTCCTGATGAAACCTCTTGGTATGCTGGGTTTGATGCTAGCAAAATCCACCAAAAATTTGATTACCTTGTAATCTAGACAGGAACAATGCTCCATATCAGCGACTTGAATGTGATGCTTCTTTTCTGCCTATCGGGTGCATGACATTATTAGTTTCTCCTCCTCAGTAGATGTGCCATCTCGTATCTTCACTTGCTATAACGATAATTTTGTGTCAATCCAATAGTGGTGGATCAAACTTCAAACTCGCCAGGAGCTTCTTTTCCTTCATTTGAAGTTGATGCTGTCAGGACGCTCAATTCCGAATCCAAAATGTGCAAAACTTTTTTCTCTTGCCTTTTATGGACCAAAAGTGACATAGTGATATATGAGTAGACTTGAGAAATGTTTTGGTTTTTGTTCCCAATCAACTTCTTAGATCATCCATGTATTTCTTACGCTCGGTCTCTTTCCCTTCACCTAAGTAAGTACCTATGCAAATGAGAGCACACAGAACTCATGATGCAGTAATGTTTGTTCAAATATATAATATATAGCACATAATCTTACATAGAAATAATGCATCTTTGGTTGATTAAGTAGCGGTTGCGGCGGCGATGGCTCATGGTGGAGATGGTAGTGGCGATTTGGCTAGGGAAAGAGGGGAAAAGATGTGACGGTGGCATCTATTTATATAGGAGGCATGAGAGCTATGATGTTTTTTTTCCATTATAATGCACCGGCACTTAACTAATAACAATAAAATAGTATATGCATTGAGCCCTTTGGCACCTAACGACATAGCTTAAAAGAGTGGTATGAGATAAACTTTTATTAGACATTGGTTATATAGATTCATAGATTAATTTATTTTAAACTGCCGACCCATTAATTGATGAGTTGTTCTATTTTCCGCATAGTCATAATAAATTTCGCATAGTCACCTAGCTAACATTTCTTATTATGGGGTAAATATAATTTTTTAGGGTAATGGGGTAAATATAATTCTTCTTAATATTCCTCCTTGAAACTCTAGATACTCTTTTATTTATCTCTTATTTATTGTCTAATACTCCCTCCATTCCAAATTGATCTACATATAGGTTTTTTGAGGTTATTCCTAAATGATCTACATATTTGTGTTCATTCATTAGGTCTATTCGTTATTTGTGCATTGGAGTAAATGGACATTGATGCATGCATCCATGCACACAAGTATTTATAACCCACATGCAATATCTTGATTTGCTATTGGCTAGGAGATAGTGGGGATGGTGCATGCATCTAGTTTGCTGCTAGAGTAAATATAGTATGAGAGAGTTATTAGCTTTTCTTGGTCTTGGTGTACCTATGAAATATGTAGATCAATTTGGAATGGAGGGAGTATAACATGTACATATTCTTTTAAGACAAGTAGATCTAGTCATCTAGAATCCACATATAAGTAGTCGGTAAAACTAAAATAGCATGGTTAGATTGTCTGTCAGTAAAGGTTGTGTCTATCAGTATACTATTATCGATGAGTTTTTCTGTGACACACCCTTTCTGTCAAGAAAGGGTTTCAATAGACAGAAAGGGTTTCAATAGACAATATGAGCTTTGTCAATATATGCATCGCCTGTTCATTTAGGTCATGATGTGGGGATACTTTACATATATATATTTGTACTACAATAAATGGCTTCTTGTGATTACTCACTAAAAAGAAGACATACCTTGTTTGCGATGCAAGATCATTATTTTGCTTGTTTGCATGTTTTGATATGTAGTTGAGGCACTGGTAGCTGACCTTCTAAATAGCCCAAAACTTCCTTACTTGATGGCCGCATGTGACGATCGAATTGGACGCAGAGAAGCCCAATGAGTATAACACGTTTCATCTGCTCCTCATCAAAGTCACCGTTTAGGCGTCGATCGACTGCATCAAGCAGTGAATTGCTGTAATACAATCTCCTAAACTTCTCAACGAGACCATTACCCTTGAGACACTGAGGTATTTCACCGGAAGCAATCTCCAGAAGCACCACACCGAAGCCGTAAATATCAGACGCCGGACTGATACAGCCTGTGCTACAATATTGAGGGTCTATATATCTTGAAGACCCAAATATGGTCATTGGGCAAGAAGTTTTGTCAATGGGGACTTGCCTCACCAGCCCAAAGTCACCAACTTTAGCATTGAATTCTTCATCTAGCATCACGTTGCCAGGCTTAATATCCCTGTGCAGGACGCGCGGATGATTCCCATGCATATAGTTGAGAGCTGAGGCCATGCCAAGTGCTATCTTATACCTACAATTAATACATAGAAAATCAAAGTTAATTCAGCTGCAACATTAAATAATATCAGTTGACATGTGGTCCCATCGATCATGTTTTGGGGCATATATTGCATACCTTCTACTCCAACTTAGTATTGTATTTGCATAGTGAAGATGATAATCAAGGGTGCCATTGTGTATTAGTTCGTAGACAAGGAGAAGTTCCCCATTTTCATCACACGAACCCACAAAGGGAACAAGATTGGGATGGCTCAGTTTGCTGATCACTTTGATCTCATTATCATAATCTCGTGCCGCTCGTTCATGATCTGCAACCCTCATAATCCTTTTCACAGCCACGGGAGTTGTCCAATTCATTAGCTGAGCCTTGTAGACAGCACCAAATGCACCCTGACCGATCTTACGGCTGTCCGAGAAGTTCTCGGTTGCAGCTAACAAGTGTGCATATGAGAATCGTCGTGTGTTGTGCACTGATACGAATACAATTCCATTGTGAGTTTGTGACAATAAATGATTTATTTGAATGGACTAACAGTCTATTCATAGTGTAAGAACGACGAAATGATAGCACCTACCTTCTTCTTCCATAGGCATCTCGATTAATATCTCTGTTTTTCTATTGAGGCGGTGGTGGTTGAACCTGGCCCGCTTACGCATAAAGCAAACCAATAAGACAACCACGCCAGCCACCACTGCTATTGCTGCAGTGATAGATCCAGCTACTACCTTTGTACTAAAACTTTTAGTATTGAAGCCAGAACCTTGTTGGTTACCCGCAGGCACAAAACTAAAAAAAGTTTTAGTAAATTAAGAGTACGTGCAAAATGAATTAAAAATAATACAATGTTTTGTTATGAGTGGGTATCTTTACCAGTATAATCATTAGTAGAAGTGAACTACACCATTGATTTATGAGTTCTACCGCAAGTTCTATCAGTAGCAGTAGCTGAGATGATAGCATATATAGATACATTCCATTAAATTAGAAAAAGAAAATTTTTACTCCCAGGAGAGACCATAATTTTTACTACCAATAGAGACCATAAATTAAAGTTCTATTTATATGTGATTTTCATCGAAATCTTGTGGTAACTATACACTTCATAAATGTCAGGAAAATAAGAAAACACGGGTTTATACACGTCATCAGGACTAATTTAGATTTTATTATTTTGATATAATTACATGTATAATTTTTAGTGTGTAATTAGTATAGGCTGGGCATATTTATATACTCCTTCTGTTTTTTTAATATATGACATCATTGACCTTTTAAAATACGTTTAACCATTCATCTTATTAAAAAAATTATGTAATTATTATTTATTTTATTGTGATTTGATTTATCTTCAAATGTTCTTTAAACATGACTTAAAAGATCTTATATTTGCACAAAATTTCTTGAACAAAATAAATAGTCAAACGTTTGTCAAAAAAATCAATAACATTAAAAAAACGGAGGTAGTATGTAGTTTCTTGATCTAGACAAGTACTCCCTCCATCCAGTTGAACTACAAAGGTAGCTATACTTAGATAGATGAAGTAGTAAATAAAAAAGACGTGATGAGGATGTTGAATTATAGTCGAAGAAGTGAACTACCCACCATGAATTAATTTCGTCCTACCTATTTTGAAATTTTGAATGGATTTTGGATTATGCATGGAACCTCATGTGCGTATATGCATGCCATGCTTACACAATACGAGTTAAACCAAACTTAGATTGAGATCCTGATCTGCAATCGAGTCTACCGCGCCTTTGTCACTAACATGTGAGCTGTTGTCCACATGTCAGTGATAAAGGCGTGGTGCAGTCGACTGCAGAGGATCCTCATCCAACTAACTCTCATTTCAATCGAAGGTGACACTGTTTTGCAACCAAGAAGAACAAGAGTAGCAGCATCTCAAACCTATAACTACAATATACTCACGGTGCTTGGTTGTTCGACCTCGGCGGCGACGAAGACGGCGAAGGCGTTTGATAAACATTATTCTGAGATTTCCGTCTTGGATCCACAGTGAAAGTACTGGAGTTGTTGCCAGCCGTAGTCGAGCAATTCAAGACTGCATCCGATGTCGCAAGGAATAGAGTCAGAACAGAAAGAAGAACAGCTACATACTGGAGATGGAGTGCCATTGCCTCTCTCATAATACACAGCTGCTTAATTTCAGTTAGACACAGCCAATATTAAGCACTAGCTAGATCTCATCAACTGATGCTGCAAAATTGGAAGGATGCAGATGGGGTTTATGTACAGCTAGTGCGGTTGGCAACCAAGACATACTCACTCTGTTACAAAATATAGTAATCTAGAACTGGATAAGACATATTCTAGCTAGTATAACGAATCTGAATCTGGATATACCTTAATCTAAATTTGTTATAATAGAATGTGTTTTATCCAATTGTATATTTCTATATTTTAGGATGGAGAGAGTACATCTTGACGAGGACATTATAATTGATGACCAGGTTCAGCGTACGTAATTACGTATCATAAGTTGTGTTTAATAATTACAATCGTACTAGCAAAAGATGAGTTAAAATAGGTTTTGTTCCGCAAGTGCATGAATTAATATCGATTATATATACGCAAGTGCCAAGTGCAACTGAATATTACATTCATAATCTCTCTCCTAGTCTCCTATATTTTTTTAACAACAAATTAAAGCAAGGTTTGACAGTAAGCCACATAGGCAACGATCTACAGATCGTTGTCACGGAAAGCCTTTAGTTTTGGAATCAAACCGTTTACTTTTGAACCGTTTACTTTTGTCTACAGAGATCGTAAGCTTTGCACTTTTTTTTTGCAGGTACTATTTATTGGGATAGTGAAAATACAATTGGTCTATTGCAGAAAAATAAAATCATATAGGAAAATCATTTGACTCAACAAACGTGCCCATGGAAAAATATTACCATTTGATTTGAATCGCAATATCAAATCTGCTAATCTACTATATACATCTCTATCTCTACTTATTAAAAATATTGAATATGTTCCCGCCGTTCTTATTTGTACGTCACCTGTCGAGTCTGATTCCTTAAGGCACGTCGTAACGTGTACGTCACTTAATTTCCTATGTCATCACACCAAAGCACTCTCATCAGATAGAAAAACATGACTCTTCCCCTCTCGCAATCTTTTCATGACCGCTTCGGCCAGACACAACACCGAGCCCACAGCGAGAAGGCGTGCCGCTGCCATAGGAACTATAGTAGAAGCTCGTTGAACTTATCTTAACTAGGTGGGTTCCACTCCAGCAATTGAGCTTATGAATACCTTTGCCGATGTCAAAACTATGATTTATGATAGCCTGAGGGTACAGGCAATCAAAACGACTAACCCGCACACACAACTGCTAGCCAAGGCGGCTGTTGGGGCGGAGAAGGCCAGGGTGAAGAAGCTGGTGGCACCGGTCGCCAGTAAGCTCTACTAGAAAAACCATTTTTCTTGATAATGGCATTTTTTTTCAGGCAGGTAGGCCTCTCGGAGCTAAATGACTGCTTGCTAAAGTGACAACCGCGGGGTGAGATGGTTGTCCGCATGCAAAAATCTATTTTCGAAGGCGGACCTCTTATGTGGTCCGCCTGCGAAAATTGACGTGGCATATAAATAGGCGACACATCGCTAAATTTTTTTTCTAAGTCTCATCTCCTCTCTTCTCCCTCAGCTCTCCTCTCCCTCAGCAGCCCTCATCTCTCCTCTCCCTCTCCCTTAGTGGCCGTGGGCATTCGACGGCAGGGGCGGCGGGATCCGGTGATGGCGAAGCGCAGGGTCCGCGTCGGCGAGGCATGGGAACGGCCACGGCAACACGCGGGGTCGGCGACGCGCACGTGGGGGCAGCGGCACCTGGCACGGCTCCCCTCCCAGATCTGGCCGGAGGGAGGGAGTGGGGGGCGGTGGCGGTGGCTCCCCCCCACCACCAGCATCGGCGGCGGCCGTGCTTCCCCTCATCTCCCCTTTCTCTCCCTCTCCCTCCCAAAACCCTAACCCTAGATCGGCCAGAGGTGGGTAGGAGCACGGGTAGGGGTGGTGGCAATTCTTTTTTGTTTGTCAAAAAGATTTTCACAGGCGAGTGACTGGGCCATGCAGGTGTTTGTATATAGGCGCGGGGACGGCCACCTGAAAAATGATTTTCCCTCGTCTAGAAAAATGATTTTTGACCTCCTGAGAAAAAAATGATTTTTCTATTAGTGAAGGGCGCTTGGCCAGATTTTTCTATTAGTGAAGGGCGCTTGGCCAGCCACCACCAAGTTTCCGACCAAGCGGTGAGGGAATTAAGATGCATCAGTGTATGGTGTTCGATTTTTGGTATACGTCTGTGATCAAACAAATTCCCAATGCTTGTACGTACTGCTCGGAGTATCATGTTCCGTATGCTCTTTGAATTTTGTCTATCCGGCCGTCAATCACTGTGGCAGTGCTAATCAATTAAACAAGTAATACTGTTGCTTTTGATCAGAGTCCCCGCGACATGCCAGTCGAATTTTTTTATGAGAGTTGCTTGTTATAAAGTGTGTTTCCTACTACGTAATAGGGGAGAGGGCCGCGTCACCGCACCCTCTTCAGCCACCGCTGCCTCCCCCCTCCCCTGAGGTGGACCTGGTAGTGAGGGAGGGGAGGGCCGCGCTGCCGCAACCTCTTCCACGGCCTGCCGCCACACCATCCGGGAGAATCTGGCCGGGAGAGAGAGAGAGAGAGGAAGTGGAGAGGGGAGGGCCACGCCACCACACCCTCTTCCGCCATCGTCGCCACACTCCCTATCCACAATGGTATCTAGGAGGGAGAGGGAGGAAGGGGAAGGGGAGGGCCATGCCACCACACACCCTCTTCCACCACCGCCGCAACACTTCCCCCTCTTGCGAGATCTAGGGGGGCTGCGCCACCACACCCTTTTTCACCATGACCCTCCCCCCTCCGATGTTGCTGATGCCGCCTTCTGTCATAGGAGAGGAGAGAGGCTGAGGGAGAAGGAGTGGGGGAGGATGTGGAGGTCTTGGGACTTAGCGGATTTAATAACTATCTCCATATTTCGCAGTCGGACTACTTAAGGTCCCACCAGCAAAAAAAATATTTTTTATTTTCGCAGGAGGACCTCTTAAGGCTTCGTCTGAAAAAATTCGATTCTCGCAGGTGGGGCTAGATCTAGGGGTTTTAGCTATTTTTGCAAATGGTATTTTTGTAGTCTGCCTAAAAAATAAAAGTCAGTGTTGGTAAAAAATAATTTTTCTGGTAGTGTCAGTGCATCCACCAAGTTACTCAGCTGATTTTTTTTTTGCCTCATCTTGTTTATGCACTGTTACTGAAAATTAATATATTTGGCAATTGGCAAAGAAAGTTTGCATGAACTGTTAACGTAAATGTGTTTTTACAAATACATGTAGCTGATGAAAATATACCACAAGTAGATTTAATTTATTCCATAAATATTGAACATGTAAACTAAGAGAACCACATGATGATGCAATCTAGATGTGTAATACGGTGGACACATACCGAGGGTTCTTGTTCTTTTGTGGATCAGGTTGGCAAGGAGTAGCGCACACTACAGGAACAACGCGTGATGTTGGGTGTTGTCGTCGGCGCGCAACTATCGAGCGTAGAGGAAGACGAGCCGTCATGAAAGATCAGCAAGCATACGCGTGAAGTGCTTCGAAAAATCTTATTGATGCCTTCTTCCGGTGCAGGACGTCGAAGGCGAAGGTTTTCAGAGACATGCTCTCCTAATCGCCGGTGCATGCGATAATTTTAATAAATAAGTCCACAACACATTTATGGTTCAATAAATAAGTTCATAACAAGATCGCCGGTGCATAAGGTAATTACATAATATTCAATAAATAAGTCCATAACAAGAAAATACAGGAAATGCTAACTAATACAGTTATAGGGAGAATTTACTATTTGCCACTCTCTCAAAATGCCAGTGCTCAAATGCTACTCTCCCAAATTTTCATTCCCAAATACCACCCGGGCCCACATGTCAGCCTCACTCATCATCGGGTCCCGCATCACTTTTGTTTGAATGGAGAGTGAGGCTGACATGTGGGCCCGGGTGGCATTTGGGAATGAAAATTTGGGAGAGTGGCATTTGAGCACTGGCATTTTGAGAGAGTGGCAAATAGTAAATTCTCCCGTCAGTTATAAAGCGGTAATTTTAATAAAGAGAATGCAATAGTTTAAAACAATATAATTTTCGCAATAATCGGGTTCAAAATGTTCGAGAAGAGCATGACTTGTCTTGCTCAAAGAAAAGGTATTCCTAAGCTTCACTGACAAACTCAAATTGCACAACGAGAACCTCCGAAGCAACAACAACTACACGAACAACAAAATAAGGCTAAAACTCTTAACAACGAA